CATGCTGCGGAACGTTGTGTTCGTTTCTGGCTTGAGAGTTGGGCTTAGGGTAAAGCCCCGCCCATACCGTTCACTGAACTCAGGCGTTGTTTGATAATCCGCCACGTCACTTGCATCTGGCATAAGGCTGGTCTTCGAGAAAGGCTTATTATCGGCTCTCAGAGAAATAGGATGCGCAACAGTGAGATCTCGCGATAGCTGCTGTATTGTTCCGTTGCTCATATAGCCTCCTACTTGTCTGCTCCTCCAGCCCATTCCTCGGTTTTTCCCATGGAGAACCTTCCCATTCGCGGAGACCATGAACTGAAGAGCGTCCCCAGTACCATAGTTTTCGATAACACTGACGGACTCCTTGAAGTTGCTATCAGCATGAGAGCATATATCAAGACACTGCCGAGCAGCTTCCCACTCATCGCGTAGCCGCGATAAAACTTGAGTATCTTCGTCAGAGGAGACTCTACGTTTAGACTTAGCAAGAATTTGATCCATCACCTCCTGCATATGCTTTTCCAGCTTGGCAGTTGTTGCAATAAGGCTCCTTTTACATTCCTGTAAGCCTTTGTTCGTGACAGTCTCGGGCGACGAATCAGCCATCTCAGATCCTCCAGCTGGGCTCGTGTCGTCGGATAGGAGCTGGATCTGGTCGATATGATCTGATAATTGGGCGCAAATCTGAAGGCATTTCTCTGTGCTCCGGCGCTCCTCCTTCAGGGAGTACAGTTCGGCTGCATCCGGATCGGATAGAGTTCCGTCCTTTTCAGCCAGCTGCTCCAGCTTTTGATCTATACTCTCGAGTCGGGCTACCAGGTCCTCTTTTGCATCCTGAATGAGAGCCTCATAGTTCTCAATGCTCTCAACAGCGACCGCCGATTTGCGTCTGGTGCGGAATCAGAAATCATGACCACGGAGAAGAAGTTTAATAAGATACCAATGTCGTTGGGGTGGGGCTGGCTTACAGAGTTGCATCAGTTAGGGCAATATTAATTGTGGCCTTATACCCTGCCAACAAGTGACGGAAATCATCGATATTATCACCCAAGTATGTGATTCTTGCCCAGTCACGGAAGCTAGTCCGATTATTGCTCGATCTTGACGCGCACCGCACCAACTCCTGCTGAAACTCCTTGCAGGCATTGCCACAACGAAGTAACGGCAAATCTAAGGCTGAGAGGTCTGCATCAGAGTTCGATTCAACTAGCTCAATAAGGGGCGCCAACACAGCCCTCAAAGCTTCCAGCTCGTCGAGAAGCTCGCGCACACGCTTTGGGTGAGAACGGAAGCTGTTCACCGTCTCATAAAGCGAGACAGTGCCCTGAAATGCGAAAGTTGCCAAGGCAAGTATTCCAGAGGCGAGTCCGATTGGTTCCGCCATGGTTTTCTGTGTGCAGTGGTATCGCTTGACTGACTGTGCAAAGCACCAAGACAAAAGGTGAACTAGTTTAGATGAACAAGGCGAGATCAAAAGTCCAGAGGCAGTCTAGGTAAGGATTTTAGGATTGTAGATGAATGGGATATTCCTGGGGGCTAGATGGGCTTTTATCACTTCAATGCAGCATCACCTGGTCAGGCTGTAAACGCCGTGTTCACATACCAACTGCTGCTCTGTGGTGGGCAAAGGTTCCAAGGTGGTCGGGGTGGGGCGGCGGCGGCTGCTCAAACGATCGGCGTCGTGGGGAGGCAGTGTGCATTTGTCCGATGGCTGTTACGTATTGCCCGCAATACTAGTGCGGGCGCGTACGTGAGATTTCGAAGTGGACGGCTATTCCTGGCTGCGTATTTCTGGAGTGAAGCCGGTCACATGGCGAGCCGCCTGTGGAGACCAGCGACAAAAGTTCATCCAATGGCATCAATACTACCTTTCGTCGGTAATTGTAGCCTTGTAAGATGTCCAAGCACAATTAACTAACCATCATCTTCCAAGCTTACGGGGCAGTCTTGCGCAAGATTTGGGCAGCAATAGTCGTGGATCAGGCCCGGACATGATCCTGGGCGATAAGGGCTGCGAGCCATGGCATGAGCCATCGTTGACTTGCCTGTGCCGACAAGACATTGTTTCATGGTTTTCGTCACGTTGATACACCCGAGGTATTGCGCGGTATACCGTCTTCACGTGACTTTAGTGCTAATATATGGCTAGTGGGAACCTCGAGCATTTAATATCAGTAGTCGCGGGGTTCCTAAGATACCATGTAACACCTGGGATATAGAAACTTGATTCACAACAAAATCTACCAACTATACAATTTGGCCCCTCGCCAGTCCAAGGAGTTAATCATTGAATCCTTTCATATTAGTTTGATCTAGTCTAACAGCTGACCAAACATCTCTAATAGCTGCTTGAATTGACATTCTTAAATTTTAACATATCCGGCTGAGTGAGGATTACCATGGATAATTTTGGAACAAAACCTTGCTACAAGAAGCACGTTAGCAGCAAAGAAAGGGGCCATGTCAAATCAATACAGGGGGTAGGAGAACTGTGGCTTGTCACCCATATCGAGGGCGAAAAGAACAATAGCAAGGCGGTCTGATTCTTCCCGCCACCCACATTGACCCGAAGCTTTTGTCAATCCAAATTAGCTCATTTGCTCAAGATGTTCGAGCTGTCGTCCTCTAAAGTTTTGATTGTCGCGCTACTCGTAATGTCCAGTTTAACATCACTTCTTTGTCTACTTCTAAGTACCGACTACCGTTGGCCTGTACTAGGAAGCTAAATGGCGCTATATATGCTGCTCTTAGTTCGGTTCTTCCAACATTGCCTTCTTGTTGAAATTTCCCGGGACTTCCCCTCCCCTACAGAACGATGTCCAAAAAGCATACTGTCCTCATTACCGGCTGCTCTGATGGCGGTCTTGGCTCACACCTTGCCCTCCAATTTCACGCTGCCGGGTGGCGCGTCATTGCCACAGCTCGAAATCTGTCCAAGCTCAAAGAGGCCAAGAAGTCGGGCCTTGAAATACTCCATCTCGACACCCTGTCTGATGACTCCATCCGCAAGTGCGTTGCTGAGGTTAGCGAGCTGACCGGCGGATCACTTGATTCGCTGGTCAATAATGCCGGCGCTGGATACTCAATGCCGGTCATGGATATCGACATCCAAAAGGGGCGTGATCTTTTCGAGCTCAATGTCTGGTCTATCATCAGTGTGACACGGGCATTCCTTCCACTTCTCATGCAGTCAACTCGCGAGGGCGGCGCCCTGCTCATCAACCATGGCTCTCTTTCTGGAACCATTGCCGCCACAGGCCCCTTTGCAGGTGTATACAATGCCTCCAAGGCAGCAGCAGCTAGCTTCACGGAGAATCTACGATTAGAGCTGCAGCCGTGGAATATTAGAGTCATCAACTTGCTAACAGGTGCTGTCCGATCCAATTTTCACGTCAATGCGCCACGTCCTGAGTTGCCGCCGGATTCGCTATTCAATATTGCTAAGGACATCGTTGAACAAGCCATGGATAATTCGGATGATTCCGGTGATACTGATCCTGCCACATGGGCGCGGCAAGTTGTGAGGGAGCTCAGCAAGCGCAATCCAGCGTACTGGATTTGGCGTGGCAAGTTCTCGACGTTGGTGAGGCTGGGTAACATTCTCCCCCTGGGGTTCTTCGATCGCATCATGAAGAAAATGGTAGGACTGGACGTGGTAGAGCAAAGGGTTAAGCAGAAGCAAACATTATGCTGAGAAAGTGGTGCCTGTAGCACTTGGTAGTGGTCGTGTTGTTTGGGACACTTTTTACTCAATTCTGCCGACAAGATAAAGTACCCAGAATATAACTGCATATATTTACATTTTCCCACCTCTTTCCGCAAGGGAAGATGAAAGGAATGGTATTACCTGGTAATTACTTCACTTAAAAGAAGGTCTTACTGATCCTTTTGGCATATTAGGCTCAGGAGGACGCTGTGTAGCCTGTGTCATCCCGCCGATCCAGGGTAGTAGTAAATTGTACCACAACACGGCAGGTCTGCACAAATATGGAAGCTAAGAATGTTGGCATCACCACACCCGGAATACAGGCGATACACCAAGCTAGGGTGCAAGGTGACACAATAACAGTTACGACGGCACAATGCAGGGAAAATTATTAGTGACACTTATATTAGCCGATCTTATCGGTCGAAAAAGGTGAAAGGTGCATGTTATCAGAGTCAAATAGTTGACCCTTCTTTGTGGCGCCTGTGTTGTGCTCATTTACCGTATCTGGCATCGGCCTATTCAGTAGGTGCCTAAACAGTTACCTAGACATATCGAGCATAAATTCATCGACGATATGAGCATAGCATGTATGGGTGTCACATCTATTACTATATCCGAATCTATCTATCGCCAAAACTTGAGGGGAGAAAATAGGATGGGATAGAATTACATATGTCACGTGCAACGTCACTCAATCAGACTGTAGATAGCGTTTGCGAATAGGGATTTTCACATCAACACATGATGGTTTGATGAGGTAATTGATATTGCTGCAAAGCAATCTGATGAAGGCAATGAATTAATGTACAAATCCGTTGCTACATCATTAGACATTTTCGTCGCAGGTAAACTGCCTAAAATAGAAGGATACGATTAGCAAAGAACGCACTTTGCTTCTCTTCCTTGCCGTCAGCCCAATATCATCGATTCATTAATGCATTCCATACGCTGTATCCTCCCTCCAATATTCCTCGCAGTTTGAGATAATTGACACCGATTGACATCATATCTTGTAGACAACCGACGTCGCACAGGAGATGCAGTACCCATGTGCCAAATCATGCGTTTGCATTTGATAGTCCTCATAGCACAACACTACATTCCTCGAGATGCTTGCCGGAATAAACTTATCATCAGAGAAGTGTAGGTTCTGAGTGATTCGAAGATCCCTACAAAGCGGTTATGATAGGATCCTCCCTACATTCGAAGACATACTGCCCTGCGGCTACCATTTCGGTAGGACTTCAGACACCCCATACATCCTAGCAGGAATCGCGTTCACTCTTATTAGCATAGGCCCATGATGACAGTACTCAACATTGACACTCTCATCCGACGGCACCTTGTGAATTGCAATGTTCCTATTCAGGACGGGCATGACGTCGAAGCGGATCTGGCGACCGCCATAGACGCTGTGTGCGTTGACACTAATTGGAGGTCCTGTGCAAATTGGCTACAACAGGGGTTGGGTATCTCCAATCGGACTGCTTTCTCTCGAGAACTGTTGAGAATCTACCACGCTTACGGCCACTGCTTAGCGAGAAATATGGCCTGCCATATCAGTGATAGCATTCTATCAACTCTGTTACGCCAACAGAACTGGAGGGAGTACGTTGTATGTACTCTATGCGGCCTGGCCTTTTATGAGCGTCCTCCAGTCGAGTTCCATCCAGAGGATACTGTCGATGCCTTCGTGCAGGCCAAAAATCAGTACGGAGTGCTTACTTGGGGAAGGAGACACGGTACTACCATCGACATACCACCGGAGTCCTTGGAGACCATGGTCTAGGCCGCGGGTGGGCGTGGAGTAATCTTGTCTTCAGTGGCTCACCAGCGGTCTGCCTCCTGTGGCCAGCGGGACGGGATGATCTCGCGGAAATCGAGGATAATGTGGGATTCTGCTACGAATGTGGGTTGAGTGTGCTCAGCCATCTCGGCATTGACGATGCCTACCTCGCTCGTATATTCGGCCGTATAATTGCTGCAGGCCGCAGACAAACCATTCCAGCGATTTTGTCGCTTGATTATGCGATGCGACACATGGCTCAGGAAAAGCGTTCTGCTCATACTGCTGCCACCAATCAGCTTCGGGTCGCAAAGCCCTGTCCAGAATATGATATAATTGTGTGGGATTTTGCCGAGAACAACTTCATGCAATACCATGATGATACGCAACACGGTGAAGGCATCAACGCTACAAACGGGTATGTAGTAACTGATCTTGTCCACCAAATTGTGGATGTCGGAGCGGAGATGGCCACAGGTGAGCACCTGAATACAGTTGCGAGCCTGGTAGTCGAAGCATTTTCCAGGTGTGGGGACCTTGTTACTGCATGCTTCATGGTTTGGCGGGAGTGTGCATCATGGTACAGACACGAGCTCCTCATGCACCGTACACCGTACCTCTCGGACGACAGGTGAAGCGGTCGCCTCTGACTTATGGGTACTGTCTGCTTACCGACACCCTTGCGAGGAATGGGCGTCTACGGCCTGGAAAATTGCCCATGAAGAGATCATTAGAAGTAAGCCGTTGCGAGTTCATGACGAAAGCTGCCGGGATGGGCTTACGAAGCTGTTTGACAAGCCTTACACAGTTGTGCCTGATGATGTGGTGCGCAGTGTGGAGTGTGTATGCAGTAAGTGTGCGGAGATTCAAGACACTGCGTACAAGATTACAACTATCGCCGACGGCGAAGACTGGCAACAGGAATGTGAAGAGACCCGGGAGTGGACAGCCAAATGTATACTCCACCTGACAGTATGCCAATGCAGCGATGTCAATATCAAGCGAGAAAATGAAATTCTTCTTTCCTGGACATACTTCACCAGCCCGAAGTGCCTTGCCGTCATGGTTGGCTCAATACTCTGCAGCAATCCAACAGCAAAAATGGCATCGGAACGCCCGGATGACGCTATCACGCTCGCCGAGTTGAAGGTCTGAATGGCCACTCTACGGCATAGTTATGGCAAGTCTCACAAACTGAAGGGCAATGCTGTCATTTTAATGGGGTTTCTCTGTTTGAATAGATTGAAAATGTGCCGTTGCTATTTCTTGAAGTATTTAATTTTTCCACTATGGAGTTGGCGACAGTCGGGATGGAATTTGGGGAAAATGAGGGAAACAAAGCGGCGCGACCACAACATCCGGTGTGGAGTGCTCGCCACGTGATCCTCGGCGACTTCATGTGTTTGCTTCTGCCATTTCCCGCGCGCTCCCCCCTGCAGCGACATGCATGCAACCATCTCGAGGCATCACTCAGCCCGTGTGGCCATCGCCCCCGATTGTTTGCCATAAAATTGCCAATAAGTGGCCGGCCCACTCAACTCGCCCCACGAATACACCCTTCAAGAATGATGACATTTCATAAGTCAGGTCATATCACACACGAATTGTATGATTAACCCCAATACTATGTGCACTGGGCCATGATTCGTAATATCTCTTCTGGTTGAGCCGTTAAGATTGCCCTCCCGAGCCTCTGCACAACGTCCTCCGGGTCCAATTACCCAGGCTGCTCGATATTTGTGCCGAGACGCTTTCTAAGTCTACCGTCGCTATTGTATGTGTCTGAAACATCATACTCAGAGATTATAAAAAGGCGCATTACGTGGCAGCAATGAGTATCTCGCCTCCTCCCACACCCCATTCAAGGGCGGTAACAGATGTTGAGTGGAGATTCGAGACCATCACACTACCCTGTGAATGGGTCGAGGATTACCACCCAGGTGGTTATCACCCCGTCATTCTCTGCCTGTGACATCGAGTAAGTTCTTCAGTTGCGTTCTTTCCCTGCGGCGTTTCAAATGGCCGGTACTCACTCCCTCTCAGAAATGGTGGATACGTCGCTCTGAAGATCCTTGTGGCCCAACTGCCTGAATCGACAGCTAAGCTACACATCCCACGACATATCACCGAAACGGCACCGACAGAAGCTGCCAGCCATGTCACGCGATTGCTAGACGAATTTGAGCACCACGCTTCTAATGGCGTCCACGAATGCCTTGTATTTGAGCATATGGGTCCGAGTGTGAACTCTATGGTCGAGGAGCTACCCCAGTTTAAACCTCGAATGTTTGGAATGAAGGTACGCTATCCGCCATGAATGGCGAAAAGCATTCTGAAGCAATCATTGGAAGCTCTGGCATTCTTGCATCGGAATGGCATTGCGCATGGAGATTTTCAGCCAGGAAACATTCTCTTCACTCTGAAAGATCTCAACTCAACGCCGGAAGAAGTGCTCCGGCAAGAGGAAAATGTAGAAGCTGAGTCGATCTCGCCCCCGGTACAGAGGCTAGACGGCAAGCAAGACAAATGGGCGCCTCGGTATCTTTGCGTTGCGCAGCCTCTGTCGCCCTATTCACACATTACGCTGAAGGCTTTAAAGTCAAATTGTCCGATATGGGCGGCGGTCAGTCCCACTTGATTCCAATATTCATTCTATGCTCCTTACAATTATTACTTGTACTCATTGTTGCCTATCATGAACAGCATATCTCTTTTCAAGGCCCCCAGAAAAACCCGTCACTCCCCTTGGCCTTCGGGCTCCCGAGCTTATCCTGACTGGAGCCGTTAATAACACGCTTGACATTTGGAGTTTCGGCTGCCTTATTTTTGAGCTAATCACCGGAGAGCCGCTCTTCTGCGTTCCAGGATCCGAATATGAAGATGATGATCATCTTCTCTCCCTTACAGAACGGCTCGGTGCCCTTCCTGATGATTTATTCATGCATTGGAAGACCTCCTCGCTTTACTTTACGCCTGAGAGGAAGCTGTTCAATTGTCAAATCGGAGGAGTCGGTCCAGAAGAGGAACCACTTTTGGTGGATCAGGTATCCATGGAGGAGCAGTTCGACTCGACGGAGCCGGATATTGACTCGAAGGAAGCCGACGAAGTGAAGGGACTCATTCGATGGATTTTACAGTATGATTCTGCAAAGAGGCCATCTCCTGCCGAGATATTGTCTCATCCATGGTTCCGCAACATCGATGTTGGGCGCGTGTAATAGAAGGGACTCATTGGCGGATAATACTTGTCTCTTCTGTTCTTCTCCCTTCCCACTTCTAGTTCATCTATTGTGGTGTTTCATTCTTTGTATTAGACCGCGGACAATACTTAAAGGAAGCTGCGAGCGGGAATACGAAGCCCACAGCTAAGCTATGTGTCATTGGGCGTGGGAACGCGTAGTCGGTATTCCTTGCATGCTCGGAAACTTTCACCTACCAAACTTTTGCCAGTGTACTCATAGTCTTGGTATGAGCCCTCCTTCCTCGTGGCGGTTGTTGGTTATGAGTAAATGTAGCATTGTAGTATTGCTACTTTCCGTACGCTGCTCAAGGTAGCGGCCACGTCCTTGTGGAGGGGTTGGTCACTTCTTCAACACACGCCATATGAAGTGCACTCCATTCTCACTACTCATTGCAAACTACTCTTACAATTCGCCATTATTTAAGATTTACATAAGGTACTGTACATAATTAAGCTATGCTTTTTCTTGGCAAATGAAAGTATCCTTAGAACCCAACGGGTGCCGTGTCCTTCACCCGGTTAACACTGCGGCACAGCTTACGCGCTGCTCAGAGTATTACCAGCGTTCGCAGGGACACTACTCTCAATCGAAGATGCAGATGCAGCTGAAGCAATGGTCAAGTTTTCAAAGTCGACAAAGAATCCATCGTCATCGTAGTCGAAAGAACCAGAGCTGGTGTAAGCATTGGTGACGCAGTCTCTTCCCAAGTACGTCTCGCATTGGCATAGATCGGCTGACTCAGAGCTGAACAGCTGGCCGACAAAGCCGCTCTGTACAATTGTTGGGACGTTGTTGAACCAATTGCCTTCAAAGAGTCCCATTCCGTTGTCGGTGCCTTCAATGGCGTGTCCGCTGTTATCGGCCCAGACATTGTTGACTGCGTGGAAGAGTGTATTACCACTGAGGGCGGGACTGCGGCCGGAGGTGTAGTAGACATAGTTCCCTGAATTTGTCATTAGTTTATCACCAGGTTCAATTACTGGGTTGCAGATCCAGCCATTTTAGACTCACTGTAAAAGGTGATGAGGTCACTGGAGCCGACCAGCTCGAGGCCCCAGTACGTGTGTCCATCACAGGTAGCAGAGTAGTCGGTCTTCCCATTGATAAAGCTATTGGAAATGGTGATGGCATTATCGCTCTCTTGTCCAAAGCTATAGTGCTGGCGACCTAGGGAGGAAGTGGTGACATGGTCGATCCAAATCTGGTTGGTGTCGGAGAATGTAAGAGCATCGCCTCCCCAGACATATTTCGGGTTGAGGTTGGTGATCTCGATGTTCTGAATGATGATATTGGAGACGCCCACGAACCGCAGGCCCTTGCCATTGAGCACAGCGCCTGTTCCTTTGCCGACCAGCGTTTTGTCTGAGGCGACATTGATGCCCTCGTATCCTGCAACATCGATGGTCACGTCATAGGTCGAGGTGTCACCACATCCACCAAGCGTGTTAAGAATGGCCTGTCCGCCATTATCGGGGGTGCAATCATAAATGTTACAGGCCTGATAGGTTTTGGTACCCTCCGAGCCCACAAAGTCGAAAGTGCCCTCGATAACAATATTCTGGGGCGAAGAAGAGGTGAGGTACTCTTTCAACTCGTCGATCGTTGTCGGATAGACAGGGGTAGCGTCGCCTCCTCCCGTCACGCCCGCTGCGAAGCCGGGTGCACTCCCAGAGACAATGGAAGACTGCGCTGCCTTGGAATGATGCGCAAAGGCCATCAAGGCAATAATGGTGGACGGGAGGTCGGGCCTCATATTGAAAGCGCGGTGTTTGACCAGAAAATTATTAATTTCTTGAGGTGGACTACGTGAGTAGCTGTGGGCGGTGGTCCCTACGATGCATTTATGTCACTAGCTTGCCAAGGGAATATAGTTCACATCTGTGGATTTGGGGGACTGTTGCCTTGACCTGCTATATTGAAAACATCTTCTGCTGGCAGTATATCCTGTCATTTCCCACACAAAACTTTGATTGGGTGTTCGAGCTAGATCCACCAACAGGAGTGTAGCGAGTGGACATGTGTTCTTCACTAAATATATCAACTGCCAGGACTGATATCGTGTCACTGGAATTTTCGGCTAGTCACAGAGTGTCAACCAAAATAGCATAGGGGGTTGCAGCACGATGCGGACAATGCTCCGTGCCAAACACCGGATCCCTCGTGTCGAGTCGCGGAAACCCTGTGTCTCATCCAGGCCCCCACTCGGCACGGAAGGTGTCCAGTCCGATCGTTTCCAACGAAAGAACCCCCTTCCGCATTGAGCTCGACGTATGTTATTGATGCAGAAGTTTCTATTCCAGCTAGAATAGCTCCCCCGGAAAAGCCCTCGAAGGAGGTTTGGTCAACAACATATAATCAGTATGCTCCATTCGTTGCAAAGATAGGATGGCTCTGTAGTATATGCTGGGACGGTCGGCGGGGCGCCAAGCAGGGACCCTTACCGAACTGACCGGCTCTACTCCGTAGCGGCGTTTAGTTGTTTGAGCATTGCCCATGCGATCCAACGAGAGCTTCTCCTCTTTTTTTACTCATCATACTTTCGGGCGCTGGATTTCGGTATTCATCCTGGTACCATGTTCTTAATATCGTTATCTCTGAGCATACACACACGAGCTGCGGTGTACAAACACTTGCAAGGTGATAAATTCTTATCAAAAGACTGAAGGGCGCTCTCCGCAGAAGGAGACGACTACATCGAATCCGGTGTTCCACATAGAAACCCCATAACTGCCAAGATGTACCTGAAAAGCTCCGGTGGGGAATGCATGTGTCACAGTGCCACAAGTTCACAACCCACCCCCTATGTTGTCTCTAACGCGCCGTGGTTAGTTACCGCCGGAGCCCAGCAGACAGTCGGACACCCCACTCAACCCGGCAAAATAAAGCGATGATCTCCTTCCTTCCTCATCATTCCAAAGGCGCCGTCATGCCGGGCTATCATCGCTTTCTCGGAGTCGAACCCCGTGCCAATGCGATGTTTCATGTGATCCGTTGTCTGTTGGTATATTGCTCGCTCTGGAGCCAAAGTTTTTCCGATTGCAAGCTAGAATACTCCTAGACTGGACAAGTCCGGACTCAGGAAGTATAGTTATCTGAATTAAAGAGCGAATCCAAAACTGGATATTAGCCAACCATGACCTGCATTATCCCAAAGATTCAGTGGAAGGAGAGAACTTCATGGTCCTTGCCATCCCGACCTCTTCAACCACTCCTCGAATGTACTAGCCCGCACTCCAAGATCCGCCCAAGAGCAATCCTCCTCTGGGGTCATGGTCCCATAGCAAATCTTCTCATCTGGCGCAACAGCAATCCATTCCATCATCTGCCTGATGTCCTCTTCATACCCCTTGCCAACCGTCCTTGCAACTGTGGCACCCCAATCATCTAGACTGATAGGATCGAAAATTGCCGGTTGATATCGCACGGTCGAAAAAATGGCCGGAAGATCGGCAAATCGCATCTTGGAGCTCACCACCGGGTATACTTTAGAGGCCGTCTTTTCGGGTCCAAGAGAAAACACTTCTACTTTTTCGATGATCGTTAGCCGCCACTGTGACATAAAACGAGGATGGATTGTGGTATTGGGACCAACGTGCCAGCTGCATATACACCGATATCATAGCTCGGATCGGTCCAATCTGCGGTTTTGTTCTCGGGAACCGGCGGACAAAAACGGACGATCCCGTTTTCTACACAACGACGATGATTAGTATTGGCGCAATGCTACCTGTGAACATGGATATAGCTACCATTTCGCCGGCAATATTGCACCCATTGTACATTCGTGTAAAACAGCCCTTCGCGCGGCACATCATGTAAGCCTAAGTTCAGGCACATCAAATCCTCTCGGGATGAGCTACCCACCAGGCCGCAAAGCCGTCACGGCAGTCAACTCGCTCTTTGCGAGTTGCTCGATTTGAAATTTATGGTCGAAATGGAAGACCTTTTGGAATTGCCCTTTGCTCGCGTCCGCCAGGTTGGGTAGACTGCTGATAACAAAATGACGCACCCCAGATACTTTGGCGGCGGCCACGATATTCCTTCCCGCTACCAGCTCATGCTCGAGGTCCTCTTCGGTTTCAATCATTTGCCCAAGAATGCGATTATTTGTGACTGCAAACACGCCCCAGACCCCGTCGAAGGCACGCTCTAGGCTTGTGACGTCATAGACGTCGCCAGGCACGAGCTGTAGTCGGCCAGAGACTTCTTCTTCTGGATAGACGGCGCGAAGTCGTTCTGCTTGGGGGGAGCTGGGATCACGTGTCACAGCACGAACGGTGAACGAGGCTGGGTTAAGCGGGCTTTTCTGCAATAAGGCACGGACAACTCCGCTCCCTTGGTTGCCCGTTGCGCCCAGTACGGCGATAGTGCGGGGAGTGGTAGTCGATGTTGTCATGCTTAAGAGACAGATGGTTGGCTAGAATATTTGTGTGATTTCACGGTCAATAGTGGGTGTAATCCTGGAGGGACAGTTGCGATCGAGAAGTTCCGAGGCCATACACGACTCAGCCTTAGCATCTAGAAGGGGATGATTTGGCCAGTCATTGTAAAGTGGATGGAAATCAAGCGCAGTCGGAATTACGGAACAGATTGTGTGTATATCAAGGCAATCATCGTGGATGTGCGGGTAAACCCCACCTTTAAACCAACCAGCGAGCGATTTGGTGGTGGACAAGGCAATAAATTGCCTCGAATTATATGAATGACCCCGATTATTCTGCACGGAACCCAGGGAGACGATAATAATGCTGCTTACTCATATATCCGGACACTAACGGACTAGTCTTGCCGAGGATGTGGTGAGCAGGTCGGATATGAGCAAGCGAATCACTGCCGATAAAACTTCTTGGCGATGCAATGTGATTCTGCCTCATGCTTATGTTTGAAGACATGCCGTATATTGCACTTGTCTCGTATATTGGGCAAGGGATATGTAACGGATTTATAGCCAGTAGTACAGCGATCGGCTAAATATATATACAAACCAATCCGCTGAGTGAGAACCTAGCACTCGGTATATTAGTATAATTGAATCATCAACTGTCAAGAGGGCATGACACGAGCTTCGCCCGGAAAGAAACATACCTCCCGATCTATACAACCAAGAACATATATGGAGTCGGCCTCCATGGTACCAGTATCAAGGTTAATGGACCTAACAGGTTGCTTTGTTGCTCTTGTGAGTATTATCATTTTCAATAAGAGCAGGACATTTGTAAAGTTCAGCCAAATCTGGAATCAAGTGATTCAATCATAATAGTACGCCCGAGCTGCAGTAACCCATTATGGTGGATTTTCTCAGCAGGGGGTTCTTCTACGCTTCTACGCGCAACCAAATGCTACATGGCCCGATAATGACGAGATCGTCAGCTTCCGGGGGATCATAGACCTAGCTTAATGCTCATATCCGACACAACGATTTGCTTGGCATGCTGGCCGAACAGCCGTTATACTATTCGCATCCGCCGTGACTTGAACGACCTGAAGGGCTAATATGACATTAGTAGTCCATGACAGACAACACTACATTCACCTGTCGTGTATGATCGATGGATGACAGTGGAATCATGTCACGCGTGGCATTGTTTCCTGACGCCTAGTAAGCACCTGTAGTAGGGGTTTTCTAATACTTAATATTCCAGGGCTATATATACTGAACGAGTTATGGACATTAATATTCAAGATCATACTAGCTGACCTATGGCTATGAATGTGTCTCACCGATGCCCATTGAGCCTTAAACCAGTCACACGAAACCGAGCGTTCATATCAGAAGTCGATGCGATGCACAGAGGTGAGTTGAGGTGCCCTATATTAGATAGCTGAGGCGGAGGGTGTGGTATGAGCGAAGGCCGGTGTAGAGGAAGCCTGGCTGGTGTGGCAGTAGCGTCTCCCATCGACGGACGGCTTGACCATGCGAGCAAAGCACCCACATAGCTTCGTTGATTCAACCAGCGATACAGATATATCGTCTCATAATATTTTTCATGGAAGAAAGTCTCATATTAGAAAACCAATCGGATAGATTTGGCACGGGCAGCGGGAAAAAAAAAAAAAAAAAAAAAAAAAAAAAAAAGACAACAGATAATCGATGTCACTTGCGGAACTATTATTGGATTTGGATTTCCAAGCATCATGCGCTCATTGCTCTTGTGACTGAACTAGCAGGTGTCAGAAAGAAAGTCAAAGGATACTGTATGGAGTATGGGGCCCATATGTTAATTTGGCCGAACTTGCAACAGCCACAGCACGTGCGGAAATGATAACAGGGTCAAGATCCAGGTCTAACCATCACTGGATTGATCTTACTACTCCTATCCATAAATCACATTTTTCTTTGGAATGCTTAGGCCGTATATGCTCTCGCCAGAAGCCTACGTTTGATGCCGAACTACACATATTGGGTATTTGGTCCTGCTTGCTGAGGTCTCAAGCCAAGGATTGGAGTAGCAAGATGGTTGTGGGGCAAAAGAGGAATCGACAAGATCCCCGGCAGATCGCATGCTGCTTGGTACTTGTAGTAGCGTATTGGCCTCGACTGAGATTGCTGAAGGAGCTTTCGACACGCCTGCAGGCTGGAGCTTGCATACGAATTACGTACAAGATCGGCGCATGGCGGTCTTCCCGGCATGGCGCAACCATTGGATGACTACATACAATTTGTCGTTTTGGCATAACCAAAGTAACGGAACCCGACGGCCACAATCAGACATAGGCCTGCCTTGACAGTGTGATATTTGTCATATCCAAGGATGTGGGCCATTTCAAGAAGGCCACAGAACCCCGAGATACCGGTAGGAAGTTGAAAGAAATCAGACCCAGACTCATGATGACCATAGCAACACCCAAGCCCCCCAGCATCACACCTACTCGGCCGAGATTGCTTATGCATTCCAGTACTGCGTATGCGTTCAAGGATATTTCGGGGTAACGGCCGGGGCCCGCCTATCACTCCCTACACCCCCTCGGTTATTATCCTGTAGCGCAAAAGGCGGAAAGAGGTAGGGGCTGGTCCATTTAGGACAATGTAGCGCTTTAGTCCAATAACGGCATACACAGGACCCCACTGGTAAGTTGAAATAGCATCTAAGAGACGTCTCATTATTTTACACTGCTCTGCATCTTGAAATCGTGCATGCCTGCTCTACTGCTCGGGAATTCCATCATGACGAAAACCAGTAGCGATGATGTATCCCAAGCTCAGATTCCTCTTTCCCCTTCCCAAGTCAAACCACCACCCGATGGGGGGCTCAAGGCATGGACCCAGTCTGTCATGGGCCACCTGGTATGCTTCAACACCTGGGGCTACCTGGCCAGCTTCGGCGTCTTCCAATCCTACTACCAGAACGAGCTTGGGGTGTCTGAGTCCGCCATCTCGTGGGTGGGGTCCATTCAAATATTTCTCATCTTCTTTGTCGGCACCTTTTCTGGACGCGCCCTCGACGCTGGCTTATTCCGCCCCGTCTTCTGCGCCGGCGTTCTCCTGCAGGTGCTGGGGGTCTTCATGACCTCGCTCGCCACCAGCTACTGGCAGCTCATCCTGGCCCAGGGACTCTGCACGGGGCTGGGAAGTGGCTTACAGTTCTGCCCGACCATGGGCCTCGTGGCCACGTACTTTGACCAACGACGCGTCTTTGCGGTGGCATTTGCCCTAGTCGGCAGCGGAACAGGGGGCATGGTATTTCCGGGATTGGTGAAGGGCTTGCTCCCGACGCTGGGGTTTGGCTGGACGATGCGTGTGGTGGGATTCGTCATGCTCGCCACCAGCTTACCAGCCATAGGTCTCCTACAGACACGACTTCCGCCGCGCAAGTCCGGGCCCCTGGTGGAGCTGGCTGCCTTTCGTGATCCCGTGTACACGCTCTTTATTGTGGGCATTTGGCTCAATTTTTGGGGCATGTATTTCGCCGTGTACTACTTGGGAGCCTTTGGACGTACAGTCATTGGCTTCAGCTACTCCGAATCGACGAACCTGATCATTGTCTTGAACGGCGCGGCCGTCGTGGGCCGGTTGGTCCCCGCATATTTAGCGTCCTTTCACCTGGGTCCGCTCAATACTATCATCCCCTTGGCGGTGGCCGCCGGTGTGTTGATGCTCTGTTGGGCGGCGGTCCACTCGTCTGCGGGGCTGTACGTCTTTGCAGTGTTGTACGGTTTTTGCGCCAATGGACTACAAGGCATGTGGCCGCCGACGCTGTCAAGCTTGATTACGGACCTGAGTAGGGCTGGAACACGGATCGGCATGGGCTTCACTATAGTCAGTTTCGCGTGTCTGACAGGGCCGCCATTGGGCGGTGCCCTCGTTGCCAAGGCACATGGTTACATTGGAGCGCAGATGTGGGCGGGCGTGGCCATCTTGCTGGGGTCCTTGGTACTTCTGGGTGCGCGAACAGCCAAGGTGGGCTGGCGTATTCTAGTCAAGGTGTGATTGGTCATGTTTGAGCACAAAGGGAACCCGGTGAGCTTGTTTATGAGAAGGCTTGGCAGGCCGAGAGAGGGAGAGAGGCAGAGAGAGAGAGAGAAAGTGAGACAAAGGATAGGAGCAAAAGCGTGTATCTACAGGTTCTGGCCGAAGAAACTCCGTAGTAGACTAGAGAATCAAGTAAACGACAACATAACCTACGAAGTCGTGCTGAGCTCTGTTGAAGCCCGTCATCCGATTCATTATTTCCTCCCAAGTTCCGCCCCCTCTAGTCGTCCAGGCTTCCTGAAGGATTCCCCAAAGGATTTCACCCCGGCCGCCAAGTCGCGACTTCTCCTTGGCATCACGGTCATTCCGGGCTTTAAATGAGATGCGTGACTGACCCATGCGGAGGACGTTGTTGCCCTGTGAGATCTGCACCCCGACTGCATCTCCCCGATCTTTTCCCCTCATCTGTGTAGCTGCATTTTCTCCCGTGCATGAGGGGAAGGCCAGATGAAGATGAGAAAGGCCAATCATCAATGGCCCTTGCCACACGAATCAATTTGATGCTACTCGCATTCACAGGAGCTTATGGCGTGCCTGACTAGGCAACAATCCGTAGACGCTAGCACGTAACTAACCGAATATTGCTAATGCCTCAATCGACAAAAAAAAAGCCCTCCGCTGACACAGGTCTCATTGGGAATTCGCGTAAGCAGCCCATAACGGGCGAAGGGATGTAGGGATGTTGCTCATTTACCTAACGAGTGATGTGTTAAAACGCAAAATATTGTGGTAAGTGCTCCTCCGTTTGTTGCTCTCTCCATAAGCGCTGAAGATTGGCACGACGTATACACAGAGTTTTTTTTTTTGGTTCTTTTTTGTGTCCAAGAAAATCTAAATTTAACGACTGTGCTTTCCTTGGCGTCGATGAATCCAAGATGGGAAACCATTTTTGGGACAGACGGGCAATATCCCCGCATTTGTCCGTT